ACACACACCACATACATCACATGCCACATACACAACACACACATCACACACCAAGATGCCACACACTCAAATCACACTCCACACACTATATACATACATACCACACACACACCACACACCATAGATGTCACACAACTCATACCACACACCACACACCACATACATCACACAGCACACACCACAGATACCACACAACTCATATCACACACTATGCGCACACACAACACACTCTGCATACCACAAACCACATACATCTCACTCCACACACACAACACAAACATCACACCAACACACTACAGATACCACACAACTCATATGATACACTACACACCACCTACCACATATATCACACACCACACACACAATGTGCTCCACACATCACATATATAACACACCACAGACACAACACACACATCACACCTCACACACCACAGATACCGCACAACTCATACCACACACTGCACACCGTACATCACATACACACACACACACCCCACAACACAGATACCACACAACTCAGACCACGTGTCACATACCACACATCACATATATCACACTTCACACACCACAAACCACATATATTGCACACCACACACAGAACACACATATCACACACCATACCAAACAACCACAGACATCACACACATCACACACCACGTACTGCACATAATACACATCATGTACCACAGGTTCATAAAACATGCAAACCACACACTGTCACCACACATACCACACGTCACACACCACACTGACATTATACATCACATACTCACACACATGACACATCACACACCACCAATAACATATTCACCAAGCACACCACACAACACACACAGCATACTGCACATAACATATATCATGTACCACAGGCTCACAACACACATACCACACTAACATCAAACATGCCATGCACATTACATACTACATACACCACACACTCACACCCCATACATCACACACACACGTCACACATCACGTACCATACATGCAATATCACTCGCACCACACACATCACACACCACATATAGCACACACTCATACCCTGTATATCATGCATCACACACACATTCACACACATCACACACCACATGGCACACATCACACACCACATGCCACATATCACATACCACAGGCACACACCACACCCATCAAATCTCATGCACCATAAACTTGTACATGTCCCACATTCCACGTATCACACATACATTGAACACACACCATATATACTACACACATTACACAGCACATATACGTAACACATCTACCACACACATTACAGATACACACCACACACATCACACATGCACACAGACACTGTACACATATACACACATTACACAGCACACATACATAACACATATACCACATGCATATCACAGTTATATACCACACATATCTCACATGCACACAGACACCGTATACAAATACACACATTACACAGTTCACATGTGTAACACATATACCACACACATATCACTGATAGACACAGCACACATCACATATGCACACAGACACCATACACATACACACACATGCACTGCATTCCTATGCACATGGACGAGGTAGACATATCACACACACATACCACATATACACACGTATTATACCCATAAATGCTTACACCACATACACATGCACATGTGTGCATACATGCACGCGCGCACACACACACACACACGGCCCACCTCCTCAACCCTGAATGCCTGAGTCCATGTGGGGTCCTTTCCCCAGAAACGGCCCCTGCCCCTGGCCTTCTCTCAGCTCCACAGGAATGTGAAACTGTCCTGGTGCAAACACAGGGGTATGGTGAAGTCTGCCTACCCCACTCCTTGTGAGGTGCTCCTGGCCCCCGCTGAGCCCCCCACTCCCAGGGTGCCTGCTCACATGTCCCGGGCTCCAGGGGGACTCCGAGGGACACACGGAGGCCAGGACCTCGCACCTTTCATCCCGGGAGATAGTCCCACAGCCGCCGAGCCTGGCTCTCCCTGCATCTCTGTGTAAGGCGGGAACCAGGAGTGTGAACCGACAAGTCCGAAGATCACAAAAGATGTGATTTACACCCAGCAAATCTCTGCCCAGGACTTCAGTTTCCTGGCTCCCCATTCTTATAGCAGGGCTCAGGTTGGTCCTCAGGTGCTCATGGAGGGAGCCAGTGATGGTGAGTGTGAGCGGCGGGTGGAAGAGCCAGTGATGGTGGGTGTGAGCAGTGGGTGGAAGAGCCAGTGATGGTGGGTGTGAGCAGTGGGTGGAAGAGCCCCTCCAGCTTCACACATGGAGGGAGCCAGTGATGGTGGGTGTGAGCAGTGGGTGGAAGAGCCAGTAATGGTGGGTGTGAGCGGTGTGTGGAAGAGCCCCTCCAGCTTCACGATTGACTGCATCTTCCTTCCTGTGCGCTTTGCTAATCCTGCTGTAACATGGAATCTCCAGACAGTTTCCTGGGCAGTTAATGGCCAGCTGGGGAAGTTTCATCCTCTACGTAAAGCTAGCACCCTGAACATTTATCCAATCCGAGATTTTAAACAGGCCATATAGCTGGACATTGGCCACAAAATGCACATAGCATATGTAATAATCGTGCTCTGGTGACATATTCTGTATTTTTTGACTTCGGAAATCACACTGAGGCCAGGCGCGGTGGCTCACGCCTGCAATCCCAGCACCTGGGGAGGCCAAAGCAGGCAGATCACTTGAGGTCAGGAGCTCGAGACCAGCCTGGCCAACATGGTGAAACCACGTCTCCACTAAAAACACAAAAACTAACTGGGCTTGGTGGTGCACACCTGTAGTCCCAGCTACTTGGGAGGCTGAGGCAGAAGAATCACTTGAACTCGGGAGGCAGAGGTTGCAGTGAGCTGAGATGGCACCACTGCACTCCAGGCTGGGTGAAAAGAACGAGACTTCATTTCAAACAACAACAACAAAAAAGATAGTAAAAAAAAAGAAGGAAAATAAAAAATAAATCACACTCAGCTAAAAGCAAGATTATGAGGAATCCATAAGGCACGTATGAGGAGGAATACACAGGGCCACCCTCCAAGCCTCACAAACAATATGCTTTCTTAGAATATGAAGAGATGAAAACATAGGATCAAAATTAGATGCGTATGTAAATACACGTGATCCTGTAGATGAATGCGGATACCCACAAATTCCCAGAGTTTACACCTTGGGCTGATTTTCACCATCTGAGGATAAAAACAGATCTGTGCGTTTAGAATAGACGACAGCTGAGTCACCTCAGTGTTTAAACGGTGCCGTTCTGAGTCCTTCTGCATCTAAAACTGCTAATGACGGTGAAAGCCACCTGCAAATGTGTTAAAAACAAAAGCAAGCAGCCGCTGGAGCGTAAAAACGGCGCTGTGCACAAACGCTTCATGGCAGCCGCCTTTGCAGGGCCGCCTTGGCGGGTGTGGAGCCGGGAGGACGCTCTGCCCACTGCGGCATCGTTTCCATCTGTGCACTCTAGCGGTAGGCAGCGATTCCCAGAGACCCGGCCTTTCCAAGGACTTCTCTTTTCTTCGGACATCCTGCGAAGTGATGAGTAGATTTTTGTCTCCAGGTTAGAAGTTACTTGGGGAGGCAGAGCCCCTGACTGAAGTCTGCCAGCTGCCTTCCTGGTCTGTGTAGGTCCATGTGATGCCACAAACACCTAACTGGTTGCTGGACATCACGCTACCTGCATTTCGTTCTCCCCTTGGGAGGGAGGAGTTTTGTGCGTCAAGGGAAGAGCTTTGCAGTCAGGGCGTCCGGCCACCGAGGCTGAAGGCTCAACCTGCCTCTGAAAACCAGGGCCCTCCGCAGAACTCTGCCACAGGCTTTGGAAAGGAACCGAGGTCCCCTGTCCCCAAGACTGGTGCTGTCCTGAGACAGCGCTGCTTCGAGGGCACAATAGGGCAGGGAGGAGGAGAAGCCCCCGTGCGTTCTGAGCAAGGGAGTCCGTCAGCAGGCGCCACCCATCTTCCCTGTTATCCCTGTTTGGTTTTGAGAAAGACACAAAACCAAATTCATCAGAAGTGCATCCACCTTCCCAAACCAGATGCGTAAAAGGCAGAGGTTTACACCCGGGAGATGGTGCCTTAGAAATCCCACCCTCTCATGGTAGAGCTGGAGAAAATGAAGCCCACACTTTTGAAGCTCTAGTTGAATCATCCACGTAGATTGCCTGCAATTAGAATTAAAACAAACGCCGAAATCTGCAGAGCCCTGTTTTCAGCTGAGTGAAAAACGTTGCCCACCTAGCTCTTCACTCATCCAGAGGACGTGCTACGCCTCATTCACTGTGGAGAACATCTGGAAATGAGAACCCCCATCCCCGGGCGGCCTTCCACCCCAGCCTGTGCCTCCTTCACAGCCGCCCTCAGGGTGTTCCTCGAAAGGTGTTAGGTCCGTCCCCAGGGGGATCTTCTTGCTCAGGAAGAAAAAAGGATAAAACATTAATGTCCCCCAAAAGAAAGGATCTCCATTTGTCCAGTGTCATACTCCCAGGAGCTCTGAGCTCAGCCAGGTTATATCCATGATATGTGAGTGGTAAAATTACAGGGGAAGAGGAGGAATTTTTTTTCCTCTGAGATATCCAAGTATTCAGTTTATGTAAAGTATTCACTTTAACATATTACAAGTTACAAAGCCTGAGAAAAAGCAAGCAAGTCAATAAAATCACAACTCAGAATTCTAGCATTCTACCATGGTATCATGTGTTGGCCGGGCACGGTGGCACACACGTGTAATCTCAGCACTTCGGGAGGCCAAGGCAGGCGGATCACTTGAGGCCAGGAGTTAACAGACCAGCCTGTCTCCACAAAAAAACAAAACTTCTAATTAAAGATTTTAAACAGACTATTTAGCTGCTCACTTAATACTGAAAAGTGGTCAAGTCTCATAAAGTATTTCTCTGCATCTACAAAAATTCTCTATATTAAGGACATACACAAGCCAGGAAAGAAAACTTTTAGACACATTCTAGTTCTTAGAAACATTGGAGTAAGTAGATTGATGGATGGACGGATAATACTTTTATTATCAATATTATTAATGCTATAGAGACACACGACTCTCTTCTATGTCAGTCAGCTGTGTGGATGGCACCGTGCTGGGCAGTGTGTGCACACAGCTATGCTGGGCTGTGGTTGGGGTAACTGCCAGAGTGCAATGTCACTGCGCAGTGCTTGGCAGGTGGAGTATTTGGGGATCCTGATGGTCAGCCTTCCAATGTTCAATCTGTGATGAACAGCAAATATCACATTAACTTTATTTTAGTGCATTTTCCCCCAACTTTCTATTTCTGCGATTAGTTTCCCTGTAAATAGTTTATTTTTCATATGGGAGCCCTCCTGTGGTGAAAATAATCCCTGTGAAGTGAGAGAAGCCCAGGGCTAGGCTGGAGCCTGCCTGCTGCTTCAGAAGTGAGACACTGAGATGATTTCTTTCCCTAAATGTTTCTGATAGTTCTCTTTCTCTCTCAGCATCACAACATAATTAATATTTGAATTCAGTGTCTTCTTGTGAGTCAATCTGCTGACCTTTCAGAAATCCGTCAGGTACATGCAGTATAGAAACAATGCGATATATTCCACAAAGCATCTCCTGGTAGTGAATTTTGCTCCCATGTTTAGCTTTAGAGACAGGGAGTTTTACTGCACTTTTATAGAAACGAAAATGTTATGCCGTTCACTGGATAAACCTAGGGCCAAAGTTACTTGCTGGACTGGGAGTGTGCCTGGAAGTAAACTTATTTGATAAGTGCACTTTTAAATGTAAACAGCCTCTTTCGTGCCCACGTTTGATTTATTTTGAAGGCACCATTTTTTTGATCATATGCACATATGTGTTTTATGTATACAGACATATTCGCCTTAGGACAGTTGTCTTTTGGAAAACAGCATCAATAGTAAACACCACTGCTATTTTCTTAGACTAAAAATGCATAGATTTAAAAGCTAAGCTACGTAGTATTTCTCATTTTACCTTTATGGTTATTTCACTTGTTTCTATGAATAAGTGATAACGGCAGGCAGGCAGGACCGCTGCACCAAACGCGACTGCTAATTTCGAGCATTTGGTAATTTTTTTATAATATACGGCATCTCTGGTTCTGTTTGTGAGAGATGTTTTTGACAACAGGGGTTTGAACTGACTAATGGAAAAGGAAAATCAGAGGAGAATGAGCTAGGTGTGGTGTGGACATTTCAAAATCAGAGCCACACAGCACAGAGACACTGAAAGGCTGAACGCCGTGACACCAACATACTTTAAGAAAAATGTTTTAATTAAGAAATGCATATGAATATTTTATTTAAGTTCTTTAATTGCTACAAAACATTGGAAAGTACCATCCCAATGAATAATTTGTCAAGAATAGTGATGCTCATTCATATTTATGAGGTGATTAAACGTAGTTTTTCCCACCAACATAGGAAAAAGAATGGCCGGGGGAACGTGGAGAAAGAAAGGGAGAGAAAGGACCCTGCTTGCGGCCCAGGGAAAAGCTGGCGGCAGAATCGCACTCGGGGTCAGGAACAGCACATGGAGATATGAAGTGTCTCTCTCCGAATTGCCATTAGGCTACGTGAGAGCTGCATGGCTGATTTCCATGATACCCCCCTCTCAGCTCCCACGCCTCGTCAGCCCGGAGAGCTGGGAGCCCGACCTTTGGGTTAACTATAATTGGAGCCTTCTCTAATTAGGGAAGGTATCAGCTGACTTTAATATGCAGCAAGATCATTATCATTAGGTCAGAGCTAACTAATTGATGTTTGTGTAGCATAGGATTTTGGATTACAATACACACAGTTTAGCAAAACAAACTAGACTGACCTGGGAAACCAAATTGCCTCACTCCGGGCGCCGCTGAACGTCCTATCACGGCTTATCTAGAGGGCCTTTGCGGGTTTCAGAACCAGCTCTATCATGAGAGCTGGGGTCCTGTAAGTTCAGCCTCTTGCCTCTGCTGTTAGGTAATGCTATGAGGGAGCTGGTCTGACATCGCACAGAAGCCTGTCTCTCCCCTGTAGAACCCGAGGCTTCAGCTGGCTCTCCAGGATGAGAGCGAAATTGGCTTGCTTCGTCTTGCTTCTCCAGCGCATGTTTGGGTAGCAGGTACCTGTGCAATTGCTACTGCATATCTGAAATTGTCAGATAAAAGTGATTAACCATGCTTCCTATGTTCGGGTCAAATCCAGCGTCTCGTACAGTGGCATTTGAATGTAAGTTGAGTCTTTTCTGTTGGAATTTGATGTGGAAACATGTTGAGCTGTGAAGAGGAAGAACATAGCCATTTAGCACCTTGACTGCCTCCAGCCCCTGTGCCCAGAAGAGAAGGGAGCAGCTGCGGAGGGACGGGGTGCTGCTGGGTGTGAACTCGGGCAGTTATTGATTTACTGGGACAACCACTCAGGCAAGTTACAAAAGAAGATGAAAAAGCTGATATTTAGTTGTGCAATTTTAAGAAGACAGTTCTGACCGAGTATTCATCATCAACTGTTGGATTTCTTGCTCTGCTTTTTGATGGTTCACTGCATTCCGCAAACACTTGGAGCCATATTATATGATCTTTCTGTAAGTTCCACTTATTTCATGAATATTTACCGAGAATCTGTGATGCAATCAGCTGCAGAAGCGGAGAGAATAACCCAGACAGCAATGCCCGGGAAGACCCTGAAGTCTGAAGGAGGAGTGGGCATCAGGGTTCAGGAAATTCTGGGTCGCATGCGCACAGGGAATGACAGGATCCACCCTCATGGGGACCATGGGGGATCTCCTTGATGACATGATATTTGAACTAAGATCTGAGGAGTGGCAGGAGCCAGAGGAAAGAACTGGGGGACAGGAGGAAGTGGGGTATCCTAGGTTGATCCCTGATGCATGTCCCAATTCCCTCTGTCCCCAGAGCTTGAGACTTCAAAGCCCTAACCTTCTGTGACACCTCCACTGGGTTCCTGATGGAAACCCAGAGCTTAGGATGTGCAAAACACACCACTTGTGTCTTCTTGTGTCTGGGAAACAGTGGTCACCCAGCTGGCAGCTCACACCATGACACTGGGAACCCCCGTTTCCATCTTCTCCGGGCAAGCCCTGTCGGGTCTTCCCTGACATGTGTGACATGCGGCATCTTTCCTTCTCCATGCTCTGCGCTCACCCACGCCCGCCACCTCCCTCCTCCTGCCATTCCTGCATCCTTGTTGCTGTCCATCGCTCTGTCCCAGAGCAGCCAGAGTCATCTATGAAAATGTCAGTCGGTTCCTGTGACCCTTCTGATTAAAATGCCTCATAGGCCACCGCACACCTATTAGAATGGCCAAAATCTGAAACATTGCCAGCACCAGATGCTGGAAAGAATGTGGAACAATGGGAGCAATGCAGAATGGCACATCTACTTCGGCAAGAAGTCTGCCAGGGTCTGACAAAACAAAATGGACTGAAACTGTAGGATCCAGCCTTTGCACGCCTCGGTATTACCCAACTGAACTGAAAGCTCAGTATAGCACAAAACCCTGCACATTAGTGTTTAAGCAGCTTTATCCATAACTGCCGAAACTATGGAAAACAAGATGCTCTTCAACAAGACAGTGAATAAGCTGCAGTATGTCCAGACAATGGAATATTACTTAGTCATCAAAAGAAACAAGCTATCAACCCGTGAAAAGACATAAAGAAACCTTACATCCGTATTACTGAGGGAAAGCAGACAGTCTGAAAAGACTACATACTGCGTGATTCCCACTACATGACATCTGGAAAAGGCAGAAGAGAAAACGATCCCTGATGGCCCAGGACTGGGGAGTGGAGGGGTGAGTGGGCAGAGCACAGGGGATTTCTAGGGCACTGAAAATACTCTGTGTGATACTGTAATGGCAGATCTGAGTTGTTAGACATTTGTCAAAACCCATAGAATGGACAGCATGAAGGCTGAGCCCGAGCTCGCATTCTGCAGATCTGGAGGCTCCGTGGCCTCCGTCATGGGGTGACCTCATTCTCACCAAAGTCTACTGACTGACCTATTGACCTATCAGTCATCTGTTTCTCTGGAAAATGCTCATACAGTAATCCTACAGTAATTAGAATAAATTTTAATACAGTAGAGAAAACTGTGTGTGTGTGTGTGTTTGTGTGTCTATGTGTGCATGTGTGGTGTTTCTCTGGGGGTAAGGATGTGCATGAACACTGTCTGTATTTTCCACTGAATTTTTCCATCAACCTTAAACTTCTCTAACAAATAGTCTGTTAATTAAAGAAGAATGCCTCTTCTTGCTGTCAGGTGCAGGATGAGGTCTGGGCACTTGTGTCCTCTGAAGCCGCATCTGCTATGTGCCTCCTCCAAGATTTACTACAGCTCCAAAAACTGACCTTCCCCAACCCAAGACCTCTGCCAGGTCCCTCCCTCTCCGTGAATGGCTGGCTTCCTAATTCTTCAGATCTCAACTTACACATCCCCGTGGAGGGGCCGCTCCACCCCAAATTCTCACTGTGCACCACAGCACTGCCTAGTCCCAGTGCCCCTGCTCATATGAACACCCGGGGAGGCTCTGCTTCTACCCAAGACAGCTGTTCCAGGGGGATGGGACCTTGTCCAACCCCTGGAGGACAGAATCTCACTTGAAGACCTGGAAGAGGTCCCGATGAAGCAGATGGCAAGTGAGTGAGTGGCATTCCTGTGGCCCAAGGGGAGCCAGTGAGAGGGACAAGGGAGGCAGGGAGAGGAGAGAGGAGGATGAGGGAGGCAGGGAGAAGGGCGAGGAGGATGAGGGGGGCAGGGAGAGGGGCGAGGAGGATGAGGGGGGAAGGGAGAGGGGTGAGGAGGATGAGGGGGGAAGGGAGAGGGGCGAGGAGGATGAGGGGGGCAGGGAGAGGGGTGAGGAGGACAAGGGGGGCAGGGAGAGGGGTGAGGAGGACGACGGGGGAAGGGAGAGGGGCAAGGAGGGTGAGGGACGTAGGGAGAGGGGCAAGGAGGGTGAGGTAGGGAGAGGGCAGCACAGAAGGGAGCCCTGCATGGAGCTATTGTGTGGGCTGCCTATGGGTTGTATATAGGCTGTATGTAGCCACTGTGTAGGCTATGTGGGTTGAATGTAGGCTGTGTGTAGCCATTGATGGACTGCATGTAGGTTGTATGTAGGCTGTATGGAGCCATTTGTGTGGGCTGCATGTGGGTTCAATGTAGGTTTTATGTGGGCTATAGATAGGTTATATGTAGCAGTGTGTGGACTACATGCAGACTGTATGTAGCCCACATGTAGACTGTGCGTAGGTTATAAGTAAGATGTATGCACCATGGCTGGCCAGCACTGGGCATCTGGAGCCTCATCCCAAGCCTGCATTTGCAATGGCATCATCCCTGGTGGGTGGTGCCTGGCCATGTGGTCCCCCTCAATGCCCTGCCCCACGGGCACTGAGGATGCACTGACGCTTCTTCCTGGGTGACCATGCTTCAGAGACTGCTTCCACTACAAAGCAGCCCTGCCAAACTCAAGGCCCCGTGGAACAAGACAAGGCAAACAAATGCTCCTTATGGATAAACTGGAAGACATAGATGATAGAAAGAAAGGAAAAAGCCCAGAACCTCACATTCAGAAATCACCACTGTCAGCATCTTAAACTCTTCTCACCTTCGGTGCTTTCTCCTTTAGAAGTAGCACATGAAGACTTGACTTTTGGCCCAGGCTCTGCTGAGCGTGTCACCATGGGTAGGCCTGGGGCTTCCCATTTCCTATCTGTAGCATGGAAATGGTGGTGACTCTCAGTGAGCTCACAGCACTCATAGAAAGGCCAATGAAATTGGCTCTGAACATTCTCTGTGGATTCATGACATTGTGAGGTGATGGTGAGGTGTCACACACTCTTCTGCTGTGAAGTCATCTGCAGAATCATTGGCTGACACAGCTCCTATTTTCTAATTAATGGGGGGAAATATGTATAAGAGTTGATATAAGATCAATGCCAATATTAAAGTGTGTGAGCAAACACAGGGAAGTCAATGAAAGATATCAAATTTTATTAACTTTGGACAATAAAATATACTGCTTTCCTTCAAGCAAACATGCATTCAAGCTCACTGTGTTTCCACAGCCCTTACTCAGGAAATGGCTGCTGCCAGCAGCAGGGGTCCTAAGATGGATAAAACCCTCCCTGTCCTCCTGGATCTTCTATTCTCTCAGAGAAACAAGGGTAAGCATACCACACCAAGTGCACACTGGTTTCTCTCTAGGAGACAGTGGTGCCATTGGTACTTTCTTGATAATGGGTTCAGGACATGCAGAGCAGGAATAGAACCTACATATGGCAGCCACTCTTTCTCTAACTGGCTGCCTTTTCCCAGCTGGGAAAATCAGGGCCCCAGCCCACAGGCACTGGCTCTGGCTGAGCAGGAACACACTGTGAGGGGATGAGGTTGGATGCCAGCCCTCAGGACCACCCACTGCCTTGTGAGTGTCCAGGCACACGTCTCCTGCATGCCATCTTCTTGGGCATTACCACACCTGGTCATCAGAGTGCTGGTAGCTCCTGTTCAAGATGGCAGCCCAAACCTCAGGTGCACAGACGACAACTCAATAAGCAGTTTAACTGCAGGAGCTGCACCAGGTCCCCTTCTCTATGTTCACTCTACACTCTGAAGCTGTCACTGCAGTTGGAGGACACAGGGTCAATAGTCAGTGGACTGTTGTAATCCAGCCTGTTTGGAGACACAAATAAAAGCAGCCCACTTCTTCCCATCAGCATTCCAGGAATGAGTGGTCAAGAGAGCTGGGGATAAAAATGGTTATGAAACCTAGTGGTGGAGCATAGCTTGACTCACAGCACATGGTGGGCACATGGTTAGACGGTTCTCAGGGATTGAGTCAATGTGGGAACTGTGGGGATGTGCTGGGAAGATCCTCAGGGGGCAGTGACTTTTGAGGAGATGCTCAGAGGCTGATGCTTCTGAGTCTGGAAGCTGGTGCTGGCTGTAAGCGAGACTTTAAGCTACAGCCTTGCACTTTACCTCATGGCTTTTCTACCCAACCAGGAAACTACTTGGGGTATGAACCACCTCATTCTTACAGAGGAGCGACATGCAGATCATGGGCTTCCAGCATCCACCTGGGTTCACACAGAAAGAACAGGAAGGGCAGGCACTGGCTGGGTGTGATGTATCCTCCAACCCACTTAATTCTTTAGAGGTGTTTTTAAGAAAAATAAAAAGATATCTTAGGGTTGGCAGTTTTGCTCAAAGGAAAAATAACTGTTCTCACCCAGGTGGAATTGTGTTGCTGTGTCACAGGATGGGCCTGGTCATTTGAACCCATGAAGCCCTCTTTAGCGCTGATCCCTGGAAGCTGCAAGTGAGATGGGGAAAGGGTGGGCATGGGAGTCACAGACAAGGATGACTTTCTTAAGACCAAGTCCTCCACTGAGAAAGGTGTGCCATGGGAGATGGTATGTTGTTATTTCCTAACAACTTTTATTAAGTAGATTTTATGATCTGTGTGTACGGGGTCAGAATGTGTCAGGGAAAAAGCAGGAGCAAAAGAGTGACGGCTTGCGGGCAGCTGAGCAGTGAGAACCTGAAACTCTCGACATTCTTCCCGATGGTAGGAGTTGGTAAGGGAAATGCCTGAGTTCTTTTGATGTCCAGCAAATATTCCCAGCATTGCTCTTGCTCAGGATGACCTCACTCTCTCCAACCAACTCCTGGCACAGGAAGTCAGGTGAAAATCGGGACTCCAAGGCTAGGCTCTGCATGGAAACTCCCCAAGGGGTGTTAGGCGGCTAGAGCATGTGGTCTCATTGCCCAGCCCAGTGCTGAGTGGGGGACTGTGTCATCATCCCCTGTTACAGGATCCTCCCTTGCCACCAGAAAGGCAGCAGACCTGGGCTGCGAAGGCCAAAAGCTCTGTGTGGGTGCGCTCCGGGTTCTCCTCGGGTAATATCACAAATCCACATTACCTTCACAGCAAACCTCACGGAAAAGCAGCTCTCAGGTATAAACAGCCTCTCTCCTGCCTGCTGATGCTTGTCCTTAACAAATCAAAACATTACTAAATCTGTGCTGAGGTGCGCGAGCGACATAAAGGGCCCCATTGTTCCAGGGTAGCTGGCAGTACACAGGCTCCCAGGGCCCATTGTCTCCATGGAGGCATGCAGGGCTCACACAGTATGGTGGTTTAACCACCAACCACATTCACAGTGGGTGAATCACCCCAGCCACAGGGGCCTCCGGCAACCCGGCCGGGTGTGTTAAGATCTGTGTCGGGTTCTCCCCCTCATTAGGACTGAAGTCCTTTATTTCCACTGGTAATTGCTACATATGCTCACGAATGATTTATTGTTGTTGATGGCAATGTATCCTCAGAAAGTTTGCCAAAGGGCGTTGACTGTTATTGATATGTACATAAAGATGATAAATGAAGAACTATACCCACCAAATTGCTACCAGTTATGATTAGTTATCTCCTTGTTTTGTTTTGTGGAGATTAGGAGGCGCACCGTTGCCCCAAGTGATCCCGGCATTCCTGTCTGGTGAGCACAGGCGCTGGAGGTGCTCTCAGACGTGCACGCTGATGCCAGGCAGCCATCCGCAGGCGATTTAATAAAGGCTCCGGCTCGGATTTCAAAGAGCCAGGCAGACACTCATGCTTTGGCATACTTTGCATTGCTGAGTTTGTGGAGTAGACAATTACACATTTTGTCCTTTTAATGAGTGTCTCTTATTTTTAACTCGGTATTCCAGGCAAATAAGGCACCAGCCTGTTGGCTTAGTAGGGTAACATTTTTCTTAGCTTTGGTAATCAGCTTGCTACCCCATTGGCGAAGACTGGACCTGTTTGCAATCAGTTGGCCCGGCAGGGTGGGCGTCTTTGGGGGCAGGTGTATTGCATTAAAGGGCCTAAGGACAGAGAGATTGCAGCCACCAGAGTCAAAACCCCAGGAAGAACGTTGAGATCACTTTGGCAGGATTTCCCAATGACTTTCTTTCTAAAAGGCCTTTCAACCCCATGTGAGTCTTTAAGTGAGTCAGAAACCGAGTGAGAGCTCATGACGCCTGTCTGATGACTTAATGACGTTTAGAAAACCACTCTGCTCTGTTCACTGTAAGCACGATGGCCTGCGTCTGTCTTACCTGCTCTACAGGCTTCTGAAGCTTAGGAAAGGCCGTAACAGAGACTCGAGTCGTAAATTGATCATCCGTCCCAAACCACTGACTGGTTCTGTGTATGACGAGGCCACTGGTTCTGGGTAAGAGATGGGCCAGATCTTTTCTAGGCTCAGCTGGACAGCAGGTGACAGGACCAGAGAGAGATCTGGGGCCCCGCTTCTCCCAGCATGAGCCCCATTTCAACACTGTGGATCAAGACAACCCTCTTGATTGATCGTGCCCATGTAAAAAATCATCATTTTATGTGAATATCCGTCAGTGTACATCAGAAAAGTAAGAGACGTCTCAAGAGAAGCTTTCTGTGCGAATGAAAGAGGAATCACTGTGTAGTCCCCAGACTTCCTTTAAAAGTCACTCGCAGCTGAGTGGAGCCTTGCCGGTGCGGGAGCTCGTTGTACCGGGTGGGTGTGGAGCAGCCACGGGGACCTCTAGACACCAGGCTGCTGGTGCCTCTGTTCAGCCACAGGAAAGCCTCCTTGGGTCTGGGATGAGGACGGTTTGCATTTCAAGAGTGTCCAGCCCATTCCAGGCACATCCCTCTGTAGATGGGAACAGCGTATCCACCCCTTTACCAGAGAGGGAGCTGAGGCTCGGAGCCGTATGAGGCTGCTGGAGGTTCAGCATCTGGCGAGATGGAGGGTTGGTTCTCAACCCAAGGCCTGTGATGCACTGGATAATGTAAGAAGGTTCTTCTATTTCTTCTTCTTCTTTTTTTTTTTTTTTTTTTGAGAAGGAGTCTTTGTCACCCAGGCTGGAGTAGAATGGCACAAACTCAGCTCACCGCATCCTCCACTTACCAAGTTCAAGCAATAAGCAATTCCCCTGCCTCAGCCTCCCGAATAGCTGGGATTACAGGCGTGCACCACAATGCCCAGCTAATTTTTGTATTTAGCCGGGCATGGTGGTGCCCGCCTGTAATCCCCATGTTGGTCAGACTGGTCTCCATCTCCTGACCTCGAGTGGTCTGCCCATCTCGGCCTTTTACAGTTCTGGGATTACAGGCGTGAGTGACCACGCCCAGCCAAGGAGGTTCCCCTGTTTCTAACAGAGAATTCCTTCTGTTTTATGAAAGAGTACCTTGGATTTGTTTTAATCATGCGGTAAGTCACACAGACATGGCAATGACAGTAGAAATGAAGACTTCCCATTCACAGGTCCCTGGCAGCGGGCATGGCATGCCATGCGGGGGTCACAGGGGAAGCACCATGATGGCTTAGGAGGAGCAGGAACTAGGGGGCCCGTGGGAAGGGCAGGCTTAACCCTGACAAGTGCGAGACACCTCAGTGACTGAGTGGGGCTGCTCCTACTTTCGTGCTACCTGGTCTAAGTAATGTGGATGATGACTGGGCCTGCTGGAGTCCGGAGAGGGAGGTGGGGGGGCTCTGGACAGGTGGATGTGTCTTTGAAAGGGGTGTTCCCTTGGAGTGGTTTGTATCTCGAGGAACTGCCTGCCTCTATGAGGGGCCACGCCCCAGGGCCAGCAAGGCTGCAGATGTTAAAGCAACAGACGGAAGCTGGAAACTGTGGTTACGGTGGCCTTCACCGTCATGGAGGCTCCGAAGCTCCAGCCCCATGTTTCAGCCTCAGGGCGCCGTCGGGGACCACACGGCCAAAGCCTCTGCTTTGCAGGGACCTGCAGTGCCCTTTGCAGCTCTCCCTGGTGGCAGAGGCATGGCATGGCCGTGGTCATGGTCGGCGAGGACATAGTGCCACAGGTG